TACGAATTTAACCCTTTCAACTTTACGTTATATTACATTCAACATTACGCCTTGATTGATATATTAAATGTGTCGACTCTTAATTATTTCTATTATAATATATCACATTTTATTTATAAATTAATATTGTAATATTAATAACACTTTAAAATCGGTGTATAATATTATTATGAAAACATAAATTTATGGAAGATGGGAGGAAATTAAATTAAAAGGCCGATAATTTTGTGTTGTATTTTCTAACAAAATTATTTTTTAATTTAATATATTTAATTTTCTAACAAAAAAAAAAAAACAAAAAATTTGTATAATAACACAAACTAAATAAAATATTGATATTTATAAATAATTAAATAAAAATACTAACCAAATAAATAACAGAAATATTATTTATTTTTATATTTATATAGGATAGATTATATTTTTGATTTCTTCTTCATCATTAGTTCTACGTTTAACTTTTGTCCAATTTCAAATTTCCCGCGCAATGAAGGAAATACTGTACGAACGAATATACCAGGAAGCAGCAAAGCCGTTTATTTGTATGCAAAATTAGCGCAGAGATAGGAAACTCTCTCTCTTTCTCTCTTTCTCTCTCTCTCGACGTTTATTACGTTCGTTTTCTTTCTCGCTCGTCGAATACGCGATCGTTTCCTGAGAGATACGAGTTCGCGACGAAATCGTTAAAACCCGTTCGTGAATCTAATCTCAAAGTTGTAATGGCACTAGTAACGATTCGTCTCATAACCATTACCTACAACCCCCCCCCAACCCCCAAACCACCCATTTCCCACACCTATTACTACTACCACTACTACTTCATTCTTGTTTCATTAGAATTTTTTTTTCCTCCTCTTACGATTAAAGAAAAATATATAAAATAATTTCGTATATTATTATTATTATTATTATTATTATATTTCATAGAAAAAAAAATAAATTGTTAATAATTAAAATTGTAATCGTGGGTTTGTTTTGTGTGTGTGTGTGTGTGTGTGTGTGTGTGTGAATGATTTATCTGAAATAAATTACGTTATATTATATTTTAATATCGTATTACACACACAATCACATTCGCCGTACATTATATAAATATTATATTTCTTTGATCAAAATTTATATACAAACACACACACACAGAGAGATCTTTTAAAAGATTATCATAATAAAATGAATAGGGAGTTTAAACGCTTACGTTTATTAATTCTGGCAAATCTCCTGTTTTGTGAATGATCAAAATCGTAAAGATCGTGAATAAGTAAAATTACGATCGTTTGACTCGTACGATCTCTCATGGTTTTAATCCGATTTACAATCCAACGAATCTGTAGAATAACAAGAATATTTGTGAATAAATATCAATATTTTAACGATACTAACGATTATTGTTACTTCGATATTTCTCGAATGAAATTAACTAAACAATAATGATATAAATCACATGTTCATACATATATAATAATTATTAGTAATAGGATTAATATCAAAATGTGAAATATCGCTTGGTTTTGTAGTAATGTTTAAATATAAAATCGATATCACTAAATTATTTCTGTATAATCATCTAATACAATAATAATACTTATACGAAACGTACAACCATACTTTTTTTTAATACTATTATTTAATTGTACACCTATATATATATGTTCGTAAAAATTAACTAACTCCGAGGTAACGCGATATACATAGTAGTATACCCATTAAAAAAAAGTTGCAATATAACAACCATAGGAAAACCAGTTGCATTGAAACATCACTAACAAACAATTACACTAATATACCAAAAAAATACCGTAATTTGAACAAACCTATAACTATAGTTACAATTTACAAATATCCCATTTGTAATCCACAAATTATTATGTCAAATAAATCATATTATATAACTCCAAATACATTATCGAGATAAAAAAAAAGAAAAATATCACACAAATACACCAATTTAATACTTAAATACAAAGTATTACATTCATGAAAACATCTCGTATAAAATTCGTACTCTCAAAATTCCAAGAGTTAATCTAAGCAAACTTTGAAGAAATAGGGAAGAAGTAAAGTTTCGTTTTAGTCGAAGAACACGTGGAATGGAATACAGTATCAGAAAAGGAAATAAAAAGTGGTAGTGGTAGTGGTAGTATCTTGCGTAGTAAAGGGGTTGGTTGTTGCTGGTGGTATAAGTCTTACAAAACCGGGAAGATAAAAGAAGTCACCCTGTGAATAGCAGAGAAACTCTCCCTTCCACATTTTACCTTAACCCTCAGCCTTACACTCACCCTCCTTACCTTCACCCCTTTTCTTCCCTTTTTCTTCTCTCTGCTGTATTCGCATTCTCCGCATACTTGAGTACCTTTCGACGCGAACCAAAAAGAATAAAAAGAGTAAAAGAGAAAACACATAGGCATAGAGAAAGAAAGAGAAAGAGAAAGAGAAAGAGAATTTCTTCCATGGCATTGGCGAATGGCGAATCGTAGAAGGCAGCCTTCAACCGAAATTCAATTTCGGCATCGAGTTGCTTTCTAATTCGAATTTGAGGTCTCGTATGGAACGTGCTCGAAAGAAGAACGCTACGGGGGTGAAAGAGAGAGAAAGAGAGAATTAGAATAAGAGAGAGAGAAAGAGAAAGAAAGATATATATATATATACACGTACATATATACATACGTGTGTATATATACACAGATATGTGTATACTGTAGGATTTATTCGACTCGAATTTGAAGAGAGAGAGAAAGAGAGAGTGAGAACGGGGTGGAAATGTTCGGTGTCCCGCAAACGCGAACCGAAAGTGCAAAACTATGGAGACTTACGAGGCGAGAAGCGGATTTATGGAGAGGTAGAAGAGAAAGAGAGGAAAGATGAGGGGGTGGGGAAAGGTGGCGGGGTGATGTAGGGTGGAAGAAGAGGAAGAGAGAGAGAGAGAGAAAGAGAAAGAGATTCGCGTGCTACTTGACTACTTACATATACGTAAATGTATATGTGTGTAGTATAAGAGGGAGACCAAAAACATTTCAAATTCGCATCAAGCCCAACCACTGTGCACTTTCCTATAACCCCACCTTCTCCACCCCCTTCAGCCACCACCAGCCCAGTCCCATTTCCATCCCAACACACCACTTTTGCTGTCCCACTCGACCCCAACGAGCTCCCGATAATTCTAAACTTCTCCAATTACTCTTTCTCGCATTCCAATGTGTACACCACCGGGTGTGGTATCTCTCCCCCTCCCCCCTCATATGGTTAAATGCGAAAGAGAAAAATTATTTGCGAATAGAAAAATTCTATAGAACTTTACATTGATGTGGTTTTATCTTTTTTTTTTTTTTTGTCTGTTTTTGTTTATTTTTTTTCTTTTTTTTTTTTCGTTGTATCAGATATATAGATAAATATATGTATGTATTTTTCTCGACGATAGTATTAAAGTTTCTCGAGGTATTT